GCAGCGGGTCGCCCGGCGATGGAGCGGCGGATCAGCGCTCGGCTTCGGCTCTGGCTGCTGTTGCTACTCCTGCTCCCAGTGCAGGGCCGCCAGAAGGAGTCAGGTGGGCTCCCGGCAGGGCCGAGTCTGCAGCTGGGCTCGGGCCTGGAGGCGCTCCCCCCGCCCCCCATGGCAGGCGTCCTGGAGGATGCTATGGCCGCTGTAGCGCAGAGTTGGGCAGCGGCCACCGGCGTCTTGAAGTGCAGAGAGAGGGTGTCTGGGGCTCTGCTTCTGCCCAGGACCCTGGCGGGCAACCCATCCCCGGAATGCTCGGTGATAGCGAGGAGAGGGAAACCCCTCTTCCCGCGCAGGAGGTATCGCCCGCGCTCGGCTGTTCTGTACCTCCTTAGAACCCACTGGGAGAAGCGGGTGGGTGGGCTGTGTGTGTGTGTGTGTGTGTGTGTGTGTGTGTGTGTGTGTGTGTGTGTGTGTGTTGTCAGAAGGGATGGTTAATGTCCATGACTTTTGATTGAGCCTTTTTTATCGGACTCAATTTGATTAGAAGATGAGAGTCTCTGTCCCATCCAGTTTATCCATAGCCTTCTGAATGAAGGCTGAGCATTATAACCTCGTGGATTTTCCAATTTCTTGGACTCCTAATGGCCCCATAAAGGAGCAGATCTGACTAAAGCGCTGGCGAGTTACAGAATCCTTCCTGGTGCTTTGTTTCAAAGAGTGGGATAGGAAGGGGATTTCTGAAAGTGTTGATCTTTTGTTGGCCCTATCTGCATACAGCAAGCAAAAAAAAAAAAAAAGCTCAGAGATATTTAGTTGACTCTCATTTCACTTTTTGAAGGTTCAAAGTGGAAAATATTTATTGACCAAATTAACAGGTCTTTGGAGAATTATGAACCATGTTCAAGTCAAAACTGCAGCTGCTACCATGGGTGAGTTTTTTGATGTGACTTTTGAGTTGAATTCTTGTCCGAAGGTTGTACCCTACTGAGAGCTGAGCTGGAGTGGTTTATACCTGTATTCCCAGCGACTTGGTAGGTGAGACAGAAGGAGAACTTATTCCAGACCAACTTAGCCAGACTCTTGTCTCAAAATTTAAAAAATAAAAACGGCTGGGGATGTAGCTTAGTGGTTGAGCACCGCTGGGTTCAATCCCTGGTAAGGAACAAAAGAATAATCCTTGAGAGACTTTGGTTGCAATAGTCAGAGAGCCAAACCTATAGTCAGAGCAGAAAGGATGACTGAGGTGGTTCTCTTAATTCTAAGGAATGCAAATGCCCTTGCTCTGGAATGGGCCCTGTGGTCTCAGCATTACTTCATCCTGTGGAACATCCTGTGGAAATCATGAATCATGATTTCATCCCATGGATTGAAAATTTCTTTATGTCTGGGTCTATGTCTTATTTTTTGTTGCACCTCAGTAAGTACACTCGATAAAAACTATTGAAAGAATGCACATATTTATCAATGAATCCAATCATTAATTTCCTGTTGGTTACCTTTAATGTGTGCAAATTAGGACTGGAACTTGGTATGGTAGAAAGATAACTACATTAAAAGAGACATTTAATTTCTTTGGATCTCAGATTGGTCATCAGCAGGGCGACTTCTCATTGTATTATTCTGACCTCCTCAAATATTCACCTGATACTTATTGCAAATTTACTATGTACTGAACTTCCAGGGAGATACAAAATAGTTTATTTTCTGTCAGGTTTTTAGAGCATGTGTATGGGCAGAGTGGGGGATAGACTGCTAGACTGTGAAACATGAACTGTAATTTTTGTGGGTGTCCAGACAAAGGGATATATGTCAGTAGGTCTGCAGTGGCTGGGAGGACTTGGACATGACATAAACAGAGGACTGTGAATTTAACAAGGAAGAAGCAGTCCAGATAGAGGAAAGAAGAAGAGACATTTACTTGACTATTAACTTTTTGTACTTTTGTTGTGTTTGATGCCTGCCCTCAACTGACGATTGAATCCAGAAGCAATTTACTTCTACATCCCCAATGCCCTTCCCCCACCCCCTGCCTTTTTAAAAGTTTTATTTTGAGACAGGGTTTTATTAAGTTGCTGAGGGTGGTCTTAAACTTGTGATCCTCCTGCCTCAGCCTTCCCAGATTGCTGTGCCACCATACCCTGCAGGTTTGATGTTTTTTGATTACCCATCGTACTTCTGGAGAAGAGAGTTGCTCATTCTTGCTCTTTGCTTTTTTTTTTTTTTTTTTTTAAAGGTGCTTAGGAATGAAATGCAGAGCCTCATACTTGCTAAGCAAGTGCACTACCTCTGAACTACTCTCCGGTCCCTGACCCCTCTTTGCCTCAGTTTACTGTGTTCTCTAGTACTAAATGTAAATGCATTTGGGAAGTTCATGGAATGGTACTGCTTCTAGCCTGCCTTCCTTCATAATTCTTACTCCTTTCCAGTGTTATAGAAGAGGATCTGATTCCTTTCCGAGGAGGAATCTCCAAGAAGATGATGGCGGAAGTAGTCAGACGAAAGCTAGGGACCCATTATCAGATCATTAAGAACAAATTATACCGAGAATATGACTGCATGTTTCCCTCAAGGTAAGAGTTATGAGGTAGATGCATCTTCTGACCTTATTACACATAGGCCTACTTGATACTGCTTTTAGAAGCCCATTCAGGGTCCTGACAAGTGAATCCCTCCTTACATTTCCAGAAGACTGCTACCATGGGTGAGTTGATAAGCTCTTTCACATGTCTGGGAATTTTTCTTGCCAGCTCCTTTTTTTTTTTTTTTCCTTATTTGTACTAGGGATTGAACTCAGGGTATTTTACCACTGAGCTACATCCTCAGCCTTTTTTTTTGAGAGAGAGAGAATTTTAATATTTATTTATTTATTTTTAGTTCTCGGTGGACACAACATCTTTATTTGTATGTGGTGCTGAGGATCGAACCCGAGCCGCACACATGCCAGGCGAGTGCGCTACCGCTTGAGCCACATCCCAGCCCCAGCCTTTTTTATTTATATATTATTTTGAGACAGAGCTTTGCTAAGATGCTTAGGGCCTTGCTAAGTTGCTGAGGCTGGCCTCAAACTTGGGATCCTCCTGCCTCAGCCTCCTGAATCATTGGGATTACAGGCATACATTACCATGCTCAGCTTCCAGCTCCTCTATTGAAGTCTATCTCCTTTCTCTTTATGAGGTTTGGGCACATCACTGGATATATTGGCTAAACTGTCCTTGCCCTTTCGTCTCTTCTGTCCCTGGCTAGAGTAGCTGCAGGACACAGGCTGATGGAACCTAACAGGGGTGAGCTTGGCTGAAGGAGGAAGAAAAATATAGGTATTTAACTGAATGTCTATTATGGACCAGGTACAGAGAGAACAGCTCACCATTTCACTGCTGTATAATGATCTAATATATGGATTTCTTTATTGGGACCTCTGCTAGAGAGCATTTAAATTATTTCTCATCATACTCCTGTCCCTGTGATATTTGGCTACCAGAAATAGCACTGCAGTGAATATTCTTGTACTTATACCTTGGAGCATTTCTATAAATATATATGTAAGCTAAGTTTTTAGAAGTGGAATAACTAAGTCAATTAATATGTTTTTAAAATCATGAAAAATAAAAAAATAAATTGTCCTTCAGAGAGGTTGTTCTTGATTGTCAGGAGTCACTCTGAACAGAAGCTATGTGCACACCTTTAAGTCCTGAGTAAAGGGGTACTGAACAGTTATTGCATCCTGCAATACATTGGGCTTTATCTCCACTCAGATAAGGAAGATGTTGCTCCAGGAGTGGGTGTCATCCAATTGGACTGTATTACACCCACCTGTTCCTTCTAATCCTACCTCTTTGCCCTTTTGTGGATAGAATGTTCCATGGAACATCGCCTTTTATGTACCCTATATAAGATACATATCTTATTTTTGATCTTATATATTTATAAGAATAAAGACTTCCATTGGCTCTGTAGGGATAATAATTTACACAATATAAAGGTTAGGATAGTACTTTATCCTAACTTTGTAAAGTACTTTAGAAGCATTGCTTTCAGGACCCCTAAGGTCACAGAGCCGTCCCTGGATTTTGAAAAGGGGCTTCTGTGTGTTTGCATGCTTCCTTCACCATTTTCTTAAGTTATTGGAATAGTCAGATTTTTGTGAACCCGGGTTAGGTTGCCAGCATAGATAGATGGCGATACCTGTTCATATTTCTGCCGTCCTTGTTTCACATGCTCTGAATAGACCTTGTAGCCTTACCAACATTGTGTACTAGACTTTTTGATCTTTGCCAATCTGATTGGTAAAATCAGCATGTATTTTTTGACATTTCTTTCTTTTATTTTGCAGTACTAGGTATTGAACCCAGAGGCACTCTACTACTGAGTCACATCCCCAACCCTTTTTATTTTTTATTTTGGGACAGGGTCTCACCAACTTGCTGAGGTTAGCCTCAAATTTGTCATCCTCTTGCCTCAATTTACAATTCACTGGAATTACAAGCATATGCCATTGCATCCAGGTCACATTTTATTTTCTTTCCTCACTTTTTAAAATTGGTGCATTATAGTTGTACATAGTGGGGGGATGACATTTTATTTTTAGTACTATTGAGCATCTTTACCTCTGTTTTTGAACTATTGGTATTTTTTTGTAGTCATCTCCTTATATATAAAATTATCTTAAATCAGTCATTTCCATGTGGCCAGAAAATTTTGACCAATGCTTGGAGTGCTACCCTAGTGTGGTGCTGTTCAGGACCTTGAAGGATAGGGCGGAAACAAACTAAACTGTCTGTGTGTCTTCTCTTTCTTTAAAGAAATCCTCTGTGATTTCCTGAGACAGTTCAGTCAGGAAGTAATGTTACAGCCTTTGTGATTATGTAAACACATCTTTCTGATTTAAAAAACTAATTTTAATAGTGTTCTGTATTTAAGTTGAAGATAATGAGGAGAGATTTTCTCTCCCCATAAACTATGACAATTGTGGAAATAACATGGTGTCCGTGTTAGTTTTACATGACTGTAATAGAATACCTGAGAAAATTAACTTAAAAAGAGGAAAGAATGGCGTGTCCCTTTCTTTAATGGAAGCTGCTCTCTCTTAAATATATTATATTTCAGAGATTTCAGTCCATGATCAGTTGGCCCCAATGCATTTGGGCCTGTAGCAAGACAGTATATCATGGCAGAGAGTGTGTAGTGGAGCAAATAGTTTGCCTTAATGTGTCTGGGAAGCAAAGAGAGAGAGAAAGAGATGGATATGGTGTTCCAGTTTCTTTTAAGAGCACACCTCCCAAAGACCTAAAACCTCTCACTGTACCCCACTTCTTATAATTCTCTTAATTTTCCACTAACTCCCAATAGAGCCAAGTTGAGGACCAAGCGCTTAGCACATGAGGCCTTCCAGATTCAAACTATAGCAGTGCCTTTGTGAAAAGCAAAGCTCAGGAACACAATTAGAAAATTAGCTCTTCTAGTTCCTATCAGAATCTGTAACTTTAGTTAATATTTAACTAATCCATAAAAAGGAAATAAAGAAAAATCTGGGAACAAATAGAGTAAAAGTAGTAGAAGTTGCAATCATATTCCCTTCAAAGATATTATTTATTTGGAAAATTTTATTACATGTTGTAAGCTGGAATAGCTTAGCTAGGGATGATAATTTACACAATATAACTTTGTAAAGTACTTCAGAAGCATTGCTTTCAGCAGGCTGGGGTTGTTGCTCAGCGGTAGAGCACTTGCCTAGCATGTTTGAGGCACTAAGTTTGATTCTCAGTACTGCATGTAAATAAATAAAATAAAGTCTGTCAATAACTTTAAAAATATTTAAAAAAAAAAAAAAAGAAGTAGCAGCATTGTTTTCAGGACACTTTGCAGTAGGCTAATGATCTGAACACTGACTTGTCTCATTTTGAAGTATGACTGGGACCCTTTATCCTAGACTCTGCAGACACTACTCTGGTGACTGTAGTTTTTCTCATTGACAGATGTAGTGGTGTTGAGCACTTTATTTTGGAAGTTATTGGGCACCTCCCTGACATGGAGATGGTAATCAATGTACGAGACTATCCTCAGGTTCCTAAATGGATGGAGCCTGTCATCCCAGTCTTCTCCTTCAGTAAGGTAAGCGCAAAAAGAGCCATAAGGGAAGGGTGGAGGGTGTTCCTTTAGAATATGAGAAAAGATCATCGTCTTGTGGCAGAGTCTAGTGGGTAATAGTAAAGATGACCTCTGAGGTCCAGGAGTGGGTTCTCTGTCCCCATAAGTTCACAGTGGTTGAGCAATAAGACAGAGAAGATGGAGTTGAGGATCCATAAATAATGTAAGATTGCTTACATGTCTGTGTGCTAGGGATGGAGGCTAGGGAGTAAGAGGCCTGAGGAAACTACAGGGTTTTGGAAGTAGGGCTCAGAGAGCCAGGCGTGGTGGCACAACCCTGTAATCCCAGTGACATGGGAAGCTGAGGCAGGAGAATCTCAAGATCAAGGCCAGCCTTGGCAACTTTGTGACATCCTGTCTCAAAAGCAAAGAAGAGTTGAGGATGTAGTTCAATGGTAGAGTGACTTTGGGTTCAATCTCTAGTGCCACCACCTCCTGCCCCCACCTCCCACCCCCACCAAAAAAAAAGCAGGGCACAGTGGCACATGCTTATAATTCCAGCACTTGGGAGGCTAAAGTAGGAGAACCATAGGTTTGAGACCAGCCTCAGCACTGTAGCGAGATCCTCAGCAATTTAGTGAGACTCTATCTCAAAATAAAAAACAAAAAAGGACTGCAGATGTAGCTCACAGGTAAAGTATCCCCTGTGTTGAATCCCCAGTACAAAATAAATAAATAATAGTATGGGAGAAGAGTGGAAAGTGGATTTAGGAAAACCCCATGGATTTTTAAAAAGGAACATCATCTCTGACTTGGTTTTTCCAAAGCAGAAGGACCTTTTATTCTCACTTTTTTTTCTTTATCACAGTTTACTTTCTCTCTAGACTTATTTATTTCCTGTGTTGCAAGTGGGCTGAGGCCACATTTTGTATTGCATTGTCCATGGTTTAGCCTCATTTCTCAAAAGTGCTTGGTCTCATTGTTTGTCGTGAAACTCTTCAAGAAGAACAGATAGAGGCTCCCATGTAAGTCAGTAAGGACTTGGTGTCTATTATTTTTATCTGTTATTTCTGTGGATAATAAAGTATGACCATCAGTATACTAACTTTCCTTTTATCTTTCCTCCCTTCTATTTTTTAAAAACCAATTCGTAGTTTCAAAGGGAGGGATTTTAATATGTTAACTTTGTAGTTAATTATGTAGCTTTCATTGAATAGCTGTTATGTGGAAATGCTTGATGAATTACTTAATATTTTTAAGTATTTAAGAGAAGTTAAACAGCATATTGCACATGTAATCCCAATGCAGAAATAGTTATTAGAGGTTTATCAGTGACCAGATATTAACAGAGAAATCATAAGAAGTAACAAATGAAGGGCTGGAGTTATAGCTAAGTAGTAGACCACTTGCCTAGCATGTGTGAAATACTGGCTTTGATCCTCAACATTACATAAAAAATAAATAAATAAAGGTATGTGTCCATCTACAACTAAAAAAATTATTGTTAAGAAAAATAATAGGTGGTTTCAAACTTTCTTCAAAAGATGTGTGATTATACTCTTATCTGCCCATTGGTACTTCTCACCCTGATCAGTGAGTAAATAGCTAAGGATTTACTGTCCAACCATATGAGCTTAACTGTGTCAGGAACCACTAGCCAACACTTATTAAATTCTAAGTGCTGGACACTGCCCTAAGCTTGTATTAAGACACTTTGTATTCAAAATCAGCCTAAAAATAGTATTATTGATAATATTTTCATAATACAATGATAAATAAAACTGAGTCAGAGAGAGATTAAGTAATTTGCCTAGAGTTGTAAAGCGGTTGAGGCTGCAAACTCTCACAATCTGTCCCAAGAGCCCACACTCTTAATCATTGTACTGTATTTCCTGGTTCTTACTCTCAAAGGACCCACTGGAAAATAACAAAGAACTGGTAAGGCCGTGAAAACTCCAAATGTAATAGCAGTAAAATGATGACAGAAGTGGGTAGATTATTTCCTTAAAATAAAATCTTAACAGTATGTATATCTCCTCTACAAAAAACAGAAGTTTGGGGAACTGAAGAAGTTGACCTTTAATATTATTCTAAATTCTGGGCTATGGTGATCCTGTGGATTTTAACCCATGGTCACTTTTGCCTTGTAATGTCTAGAGTGTGGACCTTGCAGACTAGGGGAAATGTATCTTTGGCAAGTGGACACTACAGCAGGGCCTTTGTCTGTATCTCATGTCATGAATGCAGTTTGCTCCTTCTTGCTCTGTTCCAAGACTTACTTAGAATGGCCTTTCTGTTTCTGTTGAAGACATCCGAGTACCATGATATCATGTATCCCGCTTGGACATTTTGGGAAGGGGGACCTGCTGTTTGGCCAATTTATCCTACTGGTCTTGGACGGTGGGACCTCTTCAGAGAAGATCTAGTAAGGTAGGTCCTTTAGAAAGGTTTTGTATTTTTCTCTTTGTGGGTTTTGTTGAAATAAGCAGTAGAGCAGAGTGTAGTGGCACATGGCTATAAACAATATAGTATAACTAAGTTTTTTACTTTAAAAAGATTGACTTTTAAGTTAAAAATAAGACTGTTCATAGCAAAAGCAATTTTGTGTACATATAAAAATATATATGTCTAAAGAAATTTCAGAAGAATCTATCCTAAACTGTCAGCAGTGCTTCTGTGGGAGAGATTACAGGACCCTTTTATTTTCTTTTAAAATATTTCTGTACTTTAAAGATCTCAAGAGCAAATTACTTTCATAATAAGAGAGAGTGAATAAACATATTGTAATGGGAGAACACAGAAAATATTTGGAAGAGTATAAATGTACTTGATAATTTAGGCAGGTATGTGGGAGCATAGTTATCCTGTAGGTATCTCAAGTGCAAGCTTATTCTAGATCCTCTCTGTTCATGACTTAAACATACTTTGGCCTGTTGATATCTTCCTTCCATGGTTTTGGTTTTTAGATGATCTCATCATCCAAGCCATAGGTATTCCTTTATTCCTTACCCAGCTATATTTCACAGTAATAATGATTCAATGTTGGTGCTTTTTTCCTTTTCTTTGTTTTTTATTTTATTATGTTTTATTTATTTATTTTTGCAGTACTGAGGATTGAACAAAGGGATACTATACCACTAATCTACATCCCTGGCCCTTTTTAAAAATTTTGAGACAGGGTCTCATTTAATTGCCCAGGCTGGCTTTGAACTTGCAATCATTCTGCCTCAGCCTCTCAAGTCCTAGGGATTACGGGCGTGTACCACCATGCCCAGCTAGCATAAGTTCCTGAGGAACTAATATGACAAGTGTGCAAAGATGTACATACTAGGATGTTTACTCATATATTTCTTAGAGAAAAAAGTTGGAAACTACCGCTGGGTATGGTTGCACATGCCTATAATCCCAGCAGCTGGGGATGCTGAGGCAGGAGGATAGCAAGTTCAAAGCCGGCCTCAGCAATTTAGTGAGGTCCTCAACAACTCAGTGAGACCCTGTCTCTAAATAAAATATTAAAAAGGGCTGGGGATGTGGCTCAGTAATTAAGCACTCCTGAATTCAATCCCTGATACAAAAAAAAAAAAAAAGTTGGAAACTTTTCAAACCTATAAATAAGGGATGACATGAATTATGTCATGATTCTAAAATGGAATACTATGAATGAATGGAAAGGCAGAGTAGAAAAAGGAGTTAAAAACCAGGACTCTGGATTCAAATCTTGGTCCTGATTAGCTGTGTGACTCTGATCAAGTTGTTCCTCTCAAGGTGCTCGCCTGTAAAAAAGGGGTAATAAAACCCACTTTAACTGGGTGCAGTTGCACCCAGTTTATAATCCCAGTTTAATTCAAGGCCAGCTTGGGCAATTTAGGGAGAACTTGTTTCAAAATAAAAAACAAAAAGGTTGTAGCACAGTGGTAGAGTGCCCCTGGGTTGGATCCTCAGTACTACAATTAGTTAATTAAACTCATGTTATAAGGTTGTGGGAATGATTTGATATACATAAAGCATATACATAAAACAGTATCCAGGACATAGGAAGAATAGGTGTTGGTTATATAATTATTGATCATATATTTTTATATATAAATATATATACATGTCTAAAGAAATTACAGAATAAAAAACTGCAATTTGGTTATATAATTATTTTATCATATATGAAATGACTTGTTATACAAAGTAAGGTTTATCAGTCTTGTCACTATTCACATTTTGGACTTGATAATTTAATTCTTTGTTATGAGAAGCTGTCCTATTCCTTATAGGATGTTCAGCAGCATCTCTTGCCTCTACTCACTAAATGCCACTAGTAATCTTCCAGTTGTAATAATCAGAAATGTCTGTGGGCCCTGAGTAAGGATGGAGAAATAAAATCACTCCAAATAACAGGTGTGGCTCAGTGGTTGAGGGTTTACCTAACATACAAGATCCTGGATTCAATCCGCAGCTCTGCAAGAGAAAGAAAAGCATCGATATAGAGAAGTGTGATTGAAAAGAAATTCTTCACTAGAACTTTATATTCTTACCTGTGGGTAGAGAGAGTCCAAATGAATTTTTACTTTTATCTTTTTCAGTTAGAATTTAATATAATGAACCTGTCATTTTTCCACAATAAAAAAAAATCTAGTGCTATGATGTTCATATTTTGATGGGAAGAAGTATGAGGAGAAACAAGAGATAGTTCTGGCATTGAACTGGAGGATCAGATAAAGGTGATCTAGCAAGAAAGAGCTAGAGGAGAAGCTGGACATGGTGGCACACACCACCATGTGACTCAGGAGGGTGAAGCAGGAGCATCACAGGTTTGAGGCCAGCCACAGTAACTTAAGCAATTTAGCAAGATCCTGTCTCAAAATAAAAAGAAAGAAAAAAAGGACTGGGGAGGTTAAGCACCCCTGGATTAAATCCTGGTGTCAAAAGAAAAGAAAAGGATTGGGGATTTGGGAATAGTACTTAGTAGTAGAGTCTCCCTGGGCTCAACTGCTAATGCCCCCCCATCCACTCCCCCCCCCAAGAAAAGGAAGAAAAGAAAAAAGAAAGGGTTAGAAAATGAGCCAGATTAGCTGAGGTTAGAGGTCTGAGGACCTGGGAAATAATGAGAAATGCTCTCAGCTGAGCAAAAGTGAATTCCATGATACTAGGTATCAGAAAAGAACCTACATCCTGTGTTCCTCCATTCCAGTAATATAGTTCACCAATCCCTCATTCACTCAGCCTTCCTTTCCTTTTTCAGAGATAAGTACTGCAGTCTTCTGTGCAAGGACAGTTCCTATGAACAAAGTCAGAAATGATGCAGCTGAGTAGCAATTTCAGCAAGGAAGGCTGGTCATGCTAATGTGTACTGAAACCTGAGTTTCAGGAACTTTATCTTTCTAGAGCATTTCATACAGCTGTAATAATACCAGGGTGCTTTGCAAATGTCAGTAAATCTGTTGACACCTACACCTCCAAAACATGAAGTCAGGGAGTAAATTCCCTTTCATTCAGTTTCGAATGTTCTTCTCAGTTTTCTTCACGTTAATTCTATCAATAGCATTGTTAAAGTAGAGAGTAAATCCTCATTGTGTCAAACAGCCCCCAACATGCCATTCAGAGTTTGGAAGCTTTTTTTTCCCACCAAGTTAATGTTGTTACTTATTAACAGGGCAGTAGACATATAGATATTCCTGGCGAGCCCCTCCAGAAGAGTGAAATGATAAAAAAAGGGATGGTAATATCATTCAGGAGTTTTTCTTTTTTCTTTATCTTCTGTTTTATTTTTTGTTTTTGTTTTATTTTTGTTACCAGGGATTGAACTCAGGGTGCTTAACTCCTAAGCTACATCTCCAGCCCTTTTTTAAATTTTTTATTTTGAGACAGGGTCTTGCTAAGTTGCTTAGGGCCTCCATAAGTTGCTGAGGCTGTCCTTGAACTTGTGATCCCCCTGCCTTAGCCTCCTGAACTGCTGGAATTACAGATGTGTGCTACCATGTCCAGTGAGATTTTTCTTTTGAGTACCCTTGATCAGATTTATTTAAAAATGTAAAGCCCTGAACTAATTTTTAGACGTGGTTAAAACATATTCTTATAGAGTTGAGAAAAAAAGCACAGAAACTAATCAAAAACTGTGTTTTTAGGTCAGCAGCACAGTGGCCATGGAGAAAGAAAAATTCCACAGCATATTTTCGAGGATCAAGGTGATTATATTTTCTAATCTCTTATAAAAATTGCTCCTAGCAGTGTGTGATATTTAAGTAATCTTGAGGGCATGATCCCAAGGGAAAGGGGAAAGCTAAAATAACTAAAAAATAAATGTACAAGCCTAGAATCTTAGATTGAGAATTTTTTGCCCAAATCACTCTTCATTTAACTGAAATTCAAAGAAGTAAAGTTCTTCCAGTAGTCATTCAACAGATATTTTTAGAGTGCTAAGGCTGTGTTGGACACTGATTATATGATATTGAACAGAAGATGAATGTCTTCTTGTTTGCAGTTTCCTGGGAGTAGCCACTATCACTCTGCTGGTTAATGAAGAGCAGGAGTCAAGTCTCCCTACTTTTTGTCAGACCATGTGGCTGCCAAACAGTGTTTACTAACATAGACTGAGGCTGGAGAAAATGGAGAAGGAAGTAGAGAGAAGAAAGAAATGGAAAAGGGAGCTTTGTTCAGCTCCATATCTCCAGTGCCAAGAACAGTAATTGGCTCATAGATACACAGTAAATATCTGTGATGCAGACGATAGGGAAGACCATGAAGGGAGAAAGGTTTTGTAGTGTATGTGGTGTGTATCAGAGATCGTTCTTTAGCCACTCTCCTCCTTGCTTTGGAAGTGGACTTCAGTACGCAGATGGGCCCACTATTCACTGCTTACTGTCTCTTACCAATTTCTCTGGTTCTCAGCTCTTAAGAACACAGAATCTTCACTTGGAGACTGTATCTGGGCTCCAAGAATTTTAGGACTTCCTTAAAATTATATAAAGATATGTGATTTTTCAGATTCTCAGGGAATCCATGACCCCTCATATGTCAAGCCCCTCTGCTACCTGTACCACAACTAACACTTTTTCTACATACAGTCTACATACAAAAAACTACATAAGCCCTGGACTTTATAGAGCCTACAGAACAAAAGTCATGTAGCTATTTTGGTGAGTGGTGATTACTTAGTTACACAGCTCTGAATACTAGTAATTATAGAGGCTATGAGAACCTTCCTGAAAGGGAAGTCATTCCCTGGGAAGTAGCTGTAGTGACCAGAACAGAATGTCTTTAAAGACCAGATGTAAGCAAAGAAGGGCCAAATACCTCCTATCCCTAAAGGAAAAAGTGGGGACAGCCTGGACCACATAGGTGCTGCAGTACTCAGAATGCCCTTCCCTACTGTCACAGAAACCAGTGAATTATCCATCTGTGCAGACACTGTTTGCATGGGTTCTAATATTGCTTACCTTTGAGATATTGGGGACAGTATTATGGTCCATGGCACATAGTTTTATGTCTTGTGTTTCTTTTACAGGACAAATCCAGAACGGGATCCTCTTATCCTTCTATCTCGGAAAAATCCAAAACTTGTTGATGCAGAGTATACCAAAAACCAGGCCTGGAAATCTATGAAAGTAATCAGCAATCATCTGAATAAAACTATAGCAGTGAATGTGCTCACCTAAAGAACATTGTCAACTGGGTAGAATTTGAGATTAGGTTTCCTCTCAGTGGTGAGATGAATGTAGAGAAACTTTCATGAACCAATATTAGCATATCTATAAATTCTTCTTTTTCAAACCCACCTTGCTTTTCTGGCCAAATTATAGCATAATTATATTACACTACTTTAAAGGTTTAAACCAGAGTTTGGAAGTTTCTTATGAAAAAGGCCAGATAGCAAATATTTTGAGCTTCATAGATCATATGGTTTCTGTTCTCTACCACTGAGCTACATTCCCAACCTTTTTTATTTTTTATAATGAGATAAAGTCTTGCTAAATTGCTGAGACTGAACTCAAAATTATGATCCTTCTGCCTCAGCCTCCCAAATTGCTGGGATTATAGATGTGTAACACTACAGCTGACACATAAAATATTTTTCTTTTGTTTTTTTCCAACCACTTGAAATGTAAAAATGTTTTGTCCCTGGGTTCTACAAAGCCAAGTAGTGGGTTGGATTTGGGCTGTCAGCTGAGGTTTCCCAACCCTTGGTTTAAACCAGTGATTAGCTACTGTGACTATATAGTATAACCAGAGGGCCTAAACAATGAGTCAAATGAATCAAAATCTTTGGGAGTCTAGGAATCTTCATTTCTTTAAAATTTCTTAAATAATTCTAAGGCAAAGCCAGACATTGGAACTTTATTAGTTTAGAGTCCATCTGTGTCCTCTTAACTATGACTTCTTGCCTTAATTAAAGATCTGAAAATCCTATTATTTTCTCACTTGAAATTTCCATATACTATATGAAGATGCTCTGAGAAAAAGATTGAATGGGCATACACCTGTAATCCCAGTGACTCAGAGGCTAAGGCAGGAAGATTGCAAGTTTGAAGTCAGCCTCAGCAACTTTTTGAACCCCTGTCTCAAAATAAAAAATAAAAAGGCTGGAGATGTGGCTCAGAGGTTAATTGCCTCCTGGTTAAATCCCTAATACCAAAAATAAATAAATAAAATTGAAACTTCTTAAGAAAAAATCAAATGTATTCAAGATGTTATATATTTTTTGACACAGTTTTTTTCTCTCTCTCTCTCTTTCAGTACTGGGAATTGAACCCAGGAATGTTGTACCATTGAACTACATCCCCAGTCTACCCCCTGCCCCCCCTTTTTTTTTTGGTATTGAGTCTTGCTAAATTACCCATAATGGCCTCCAATTTGCAATCCTCTTGCTTCTATCTCCTTAATAGCTGGGATTACAGGAATAGGTTACCACCTCTGGCAATCTGATATAGTTTCAATTAATAGGAAATATTAGATTTAAGAAATCTGGTCAAATAATAAAAATATGAAAGAATGTATTCCGAACACAGTTTGTTAGCATCTACTGTGGGGGGCAGCAAAAGCACACAGACTTATTCCCCTCGTTCATTTTACTATCTTTTAAGAAGGATGGAATGTACATTGGGGGTCCTAAATCAAATTCCCTGAAAGGCCAGCAGGTGATGTAAAGAAGTCAGAGAGAGCACTAACAGCTCCATTTGATTGCTGCCAAGTGGAAGTGGGAGTCCAGTTTGCCAGATACTCCTTTTTATTTATTTTTTTTCTAAGAGAAGTTGGAGATCTGGATTTTTGTGAAAAGTATCCTACCACTATAAATGGTGTCAATTTTTTAAAAATTATTTTTGTGGTATTTGGGATTGATTCTAGGGGCACTCTGCCACTGAGCTAATTCCTCAAGCCTTTTTAAAATTTTATTTTGAGACAAATGATCACAAAGTTGCCCAGGCTGAGCTCAAACTTGGGATGTTTCTGCCTCTGCCTCCTGAATAGCTGAGATTATAGGCATGCACTGCCATGTCCAGTCAGTTTGAATATTTATTTAAAAATATATTCCATGCTCCAAAATATTTGTGAATGGACTATATCCCTAAGTCTACTAGCCATTGCTTGTGATCTTCTGTGTGTGTAATTTACACAGAGTGAAATGTGCTACAGGCCATGATTAAAACCTTAGCATTTCTATTTAGGGCCAGTGATCCTGAGCAAGTCTCCCAACTCCTTTAAACCTTAGCTTCCTCATCTGTTTAATGAGATAATAATACCTCCTGAGTATGTTTATTATGAGGCTTAAGTGAGATTATGTTGAAGAAATGTTTTACAATGATTGCTGCACATTGGTTGCCCATAAATGCTATTCGTACTAATACAAATAACTTCCCTTTCACATAAAGGATACCTTGGGAAAGCCAGCTGCTAAGGATGTCCATCTTGTGGATCACTGCAAATACAAGTAAGACTTCTAAAACTCCTGACTCTTGGTTTCCATTTTTCTTTTGAAACAGCTTTACTTTGGGTAAGAATTTTAATACTACTATCTAGCATTGATTCATTTAGCTGCCTTTTCCTGAGGGCCTATGTGCACTGACCTGAGTTCTACAGGGACTGTAGAGAGGAATGAAACATGTTTCCTGCTTCCAGAGAACTTGCTGTTAGTTAAAGTGATGGGTTTACCTCTCCATATCCCTCTGACCCAATAGTTGACATTAGATTGAATATTTATCAGGGTAATAAATATTGAGGGGTTGGCGATGAAGCTCAGTGATAGAGTATGTACTTATCATGCGTGAGGCCCTGGGTTCCCAGCACTACAATCAACCAACTAAACAATCACTAATATAATGAAATTCTAGGACTAGATATTAGTTGAACAAGTAAAGGCTCAGAGGAGGATAACTGGGGTACTCAAAGTTAAAAATGCTGGTTATATGCTCAAGGATAACTATAGTGTAAGAGCAACTCTGGTTGGAGACAGGAGTGCAGATGTGAAAAGTGCTGAGAAAAAAGTGTTGTAGTCTGTGACAGCAGTTTTCCAAGGAGTGTTTCTTTGAAGATGGATTAGGGTAGACTTGTTCTTCTCCCTAAACTTCAGGATACCATCCAGGAAACAGGGAGTGCCTTTGACCAGAGGGGGTATACTGAAGGAAAAACAGGGCTTTGGGGTCATGACTATAGAGATATTATACCCATACAGAGAAGCATGTGATTTTTTTTTTTCACTCTTGATTTTTGATTGTATCATTGAACATTTCTGTATTTTCTTAGATATGTCCAAAATCTACATTCAAAGGTATTCAAAATTCCTTCTGAACCTATATTCTTTCCACCCATCAGCCAAGCTTCTGAACCTATCTAGCTCTGTCTGGAAAAGGTATTTTTCCCTTTTCCTGTACCCTGATATTCTCAGAACAACCTGTAGTCCCAAGCCTGAAAAGCAGGCTGTTTGTGGAAACCTTACAGAAACATACTAATAATGTGTTCTTGAAAACTGAAAATGAAAAGGGAAAGGAGAGAATCATAAAAGGAGAAAAGGGAAGGAGGGAACAAGAAAAAGGTCATATTTGTGGTAGCAAGCATAAAGAGTATCAAATATATTTTGCTTTTTTTTTCCCCTGTAGGTATCTGTTTAATTTTCGAGGCGTAGCTGCAAGTTTCCGGTTCAAACACCTCTTCCTCTGTGGTTCACTTGTTTTCCATGTTGGTGATGAGTGGATAGAATTCTTCTATCCACAACTGAAGCCGTGGGTTCACTATATCCCAGTCAAAACAGATCTCTCCAATGTCCAGTAAGCAGCTATCCTATCATTTGCTTCTAAGTTGCCAAGGCTGGCCTCAAACTTGTGATCCTCCTCTCTCAGACTCCCAAGTCACTGGGATTACAAGGCATTTACTCTTCTATTTTTATCTCTTGGTGCTGGGAATTGAACCCAGGGGTACTTCACCACTGAGTTATATCCCTAGCCCCTTTTTAAAATTTATTTATTTTGAGACAGGGTGTCACTAAGTTACTGGGGCTATCTCAAACTTGCAATCCTCCTGTCTTAACCTTCTGAGTCACTGGGATTACAGGTGTGCATCACTATGCTTGGCATAAGGAATTTACCCTTGATGAATTTTTCCAGTAAAAGCTTTTTCCCACCTCTTATTTAGTTTGCATATATTGTATAGTGGTTATAGTGTCTAAGAATGCTGTAAGTGGGATTTAAATTTGAAAAGTGCTTTAATCCTGGTTCCAGTGTATAACATGTAGACAGTACAAAGTAAAAAAAGCTCTAATCTCTCAAAAGCTAAAGATAGGGATATTTGATCTTGTTATATTATCAACATTGTTTCAGATATAGCATGAAAATTGACCCCAGTGAAGCTTAGGCAAATTTTCTCTTGATGGGATGAGATTGGAGAAGGGCCAGAAATGTGGACCCACTTCTATCTCCTAGGGACTAGAAGAAGAATTTGGAGACAGGTTGGAAGTTTTCACTTTTGATTTCTTATTTATATCTGTGAACATTTCTGTTTTTTCTCTATTATGTTCCAAATCTATAATAGGCTGCCTTTTATATGTATGTGGGCTTGCTTTAAAGAAATATTCCACTAACCACATATCTAGAGATCAAGCTATGATTTTTCTGACTGGGTACTAATAAGTTTGCTGTACATTTTGAGTTCAAATAATTATTTTCCTTTTAGGGAGCTGTTGCAATTTGTAAAAGCAAATGATGATATAGCTCAAGAAATTGCTGAAAGGTAAATTCTTTTCATTTTCCCTTCTCTTACTTTATCATCCCCATTTTGCCATAGCTAATGTTATCCGAATACTATCGCCATATGATGTCTGTCTGTCAGCCCTATGGTACAGAGATAATGCAGAGTTAAAACTCTCCAGAGGAGGGGGAAAACATATCCACACACTAATATGCCCCAAACTTTATAGAAATAGATTGGAATCTTTAAGATATTTCAATAAGTACTTTTTATGACCAGTGACTTTTTCTTTTTCTTTCTTTTTTTTCCCCAGTCCTGGAAATTGAACCCAGGGACAATTTATCACCAAGCCACATTCCCAGCTCTTTTTTTCTTTTTTGAGGCAGGGTCTCACCAAGCTGCTGAGGCTGGCCTCAAACTTTTAGATCCTGCCTTGGCCTCCTGAGTTGCTGGAATTATAGGCATGAACCATTTTGCCTAGCTGTGATCACCAGCTATTAATGTGTTTGTTTTTAGGGGGGGAAATGTTATGTTGTATTGATAAATGCAAATATATATAGATATGATGGCTATAAGGGTTGATTCTGAGGATCAAATTAATTAAATTCATGTAAAGTACTCTGAATAAGTTTTGGCATAAGATAGCTTATTAACATGTAGGCTATTATTAAGTTAAGTTCTGTGTTTCAAAATATTCTTGTTAATCTTTCCTCTAGGGGAAGCCAGTTTATTATGGACCACTTGCAGATGGAAGACATCACCTGTTACTGGGAAAACCTCTTAACTGAATACTCTAAATTCCTGTCCTATAATGTAACAAGAAGGAAAGGCTATGACCAGATTGTTCCCAAAATTTTGAAAACTGAACTGTAGTACTCATCATAGGACAAGAATCCTCCCTATGGCAGCAGATCTGCTATCCTGTGGTAAGAAGCTTACTATGAGTGTGGCACCTATACCTTGAACACCTTTTATCAAGCCAAACATCTGATTTTCCTTATCATGCTGCACTCAGAGCTACTCTTAAGAAAGATCTAAAATATGTGTAATACAGAGATGTGAAGTAGTTCAACTCTGGCTGAATAAGGACCCAGAATGTGGATTTTGAATCTGATTCTACTTTCATTTTCTTATGATCAATCACAGCGTGTGCCTCAGATCATCTACATGTATATGTTCATCACTGTGAAAATGACTGTGTCCAGGAGAGATGCACTTTGTTCCACTTTTTTGGAACATAAAATTCAGTACTTGGAACTAGTACAACTCATTTCTGCAGTTCTGATATTATTCTAGACTTGATAACTGTTGCTTTATTTTAATGTAGAAACCCTATGGGATTTGTGAGAAATACCTGGGGATTATTTTCTGAAAGTTCAAGGAAGCAGCAGTTGTGCTGTGCAATGATATAGGAGTTCTGTTTTGTAAAAGCATAAACTGGTACTCAGGAGGTTTCTATAATGCCACATAAAAAGGGGCTAATCACATGAGTAATTATTGCAATTGGATTTTAAGTTCCCATCTTGTGCCTTTAATCCCTTTTAACTGTCTCTTTAAAGAGCAACAAGAGGGCTGGGGATGTGGCTCAAGCGGTAGCATGCTTGCCTGGCATGCGTGCGGCCCAGGTTCGATCCTCAGCACCACGTACAAAGAAAGATGTTGTGTCCGCTGAAAACTAAAAAATAAATATTAAAAAAAAATAAAGAGCAACAAGAACAAAAAAAGACAAAAAATTCCTAATAAATTTAGGAAGTAGTCCTCACACTTTAAGGAAATGTGCTTAGTTGAACAACTTTTATCTTACCCTTTGCACACTTTAGTGTTTTTCCTTCTTAAATTGACAGCATCAGGGTTATTGATCAACATTGTGCAGAGACTACAAGGAGTTTCCATATGGGAATACATCATTATGTTGGTAATTCAGAGCATTCACCTTTTACATTTACTTATATAGGAGATATTTGTTCTGCAGATCATTGTTGGAGTCCATTCTTATTTTTTTCCTTTTTTGAAAAAGACATTTGGGCCAGGTACAATGCCTATAATCCCAGCAAATCAGTAGGCTAAAGCAGGAGGGACACAAATGCAAGGCCAGCATCAGCAACTCTGTGAGACTCTGTCTCAAAAACTAAAGGGTTAGGGATATAGCTCAGTGGTAGAGTGGCCTGGTTTCAATTTGTAGTACCGCACAAAAATAGATAAGTAAAATAGGAAGAAATTTTTCTTCTGTTTTTATTTATTTATTGTGGTACTGGAGATTGAACCCAGGGGCAGTCTACCTCTGAGCTATATCCCCAGCCCTTTTTATTTTATTTTTGAAACAGAGTTGCTAAGTTGCTGAGTCTGGCCTCGAACTTACGATACACCTGTCTCAGCTTCCTGTTTTGTTGGAATTACAGTTGTATGCCACCACACCTGCCTTGTTGTCTTTTAGAATAGGAACTAAAGCTTCATTTCTCTGGGAACACTTCCATTTTGTTTCAAGTTGCAGCTCAAACACCTTCTCTTTGAATCCTTCCTTTCATTCTTCTAGGCAAGGATTACCATAATATTTTGCTTATGCCTGTGTTATATGACATCACATTGTATTATAATTACTTGACTATTTCTCCTTTTGTTCTGAGATACTGATGGGTGGAAATCATGTTTTACTCATCCTGATGTCTCTACTGTCTAGCACAGTGCCTCACACAGAGTAAATACTGAAGTGTTTGAAGGATGGATGGATGGTGGATATGGAGACATTTGGCTTTACTAGATTCTATTTATAGATTGCCCAGCCATTGGCTCCAAGGGGGATTGAATAAAATTTGTTAAAAATTAGATCATATGAATCCTCACTTGCCCTCCAAAGAGTCAACTAGGGCATCTTTGTCTTTACATACAGCAAATTACTCATATTTTATACTTGTTCATCTGTTTACCTCAGTGTTGATTGTATAAGGATGATGTATAACAATGTGTAAAGTGTATGTTTTGAAAATAATTTGTATCCCCACAACTTTTAAAGTTTGTTGACATTAATACTAGCTCAGACCCAAACTTACCTCTTCCTCTTCAAAAATTCATTTTCTCTATTTGTGGAAAAGGCTTATGTTGTGTGTAATATAACTAAATGTAATATATGTAGCAAGGATTTTATTATATATATATATATATATATTGTGTGTGTATGTGTGTGTGTGTGTGTGTGAGAGAGAGAGAGAGAGAGAGTGTGTGTGTGTGTGTGTGTGTGTGTGTGTGTGTGTGTGTGTGTCTGTGTGTTTATTTATTTATTTATTTCAGGGGCAGTACTGGGATTGAAACCAGGGGCACTTTACCATTGAGTTTCATTCCCAATCCTTTTTTTTGAAACAGAGTCTTGCTAAATTTCTGGGGCTGGCCTCAGATTTGTGATCCTCTTGCCTCAGCATCCCAAGTTCCTGGGATTACTGTGTCTGGCAAGGACTATGAACCTTGCTGAGAAAGGGAACCTATTGACCCCTGGGAGAAAATTCACTGAAGTTACTGAGTTCTATGAGCAGATCTCAGAAACAAGGGCTGAGGATTAGGACAATGGTTCCAGACACAGAATGGTGACTACTAAAATCCTTCCCTGATAAGTTTTTCTGCTGGCAGATATATATTCTGATGAGAGAGTTATGTGTTACAGTGTGGTCCAATTAAACCTCTAACATCTATTGGCTTGGACAGAGTTGCCCTGAGACCTTTCAAAAAGATAAGCTCAGAGGAGGGAGAGTATTTTCCCTAGTACTAAAAAGAAGGTAAGCCCTAAGGGCTTGGGGAAATAGGAAATGCTGGAGTGTGACAGTCTGAGAGCTGAGGTGGAACAACATTAGCGTGAGCAGTAGCCAATAGACAGGGGACTTTTGCAAGTTACTGGGTGGCAAAGGGAGACTTACAAGGGTCTCTAGTTATCCACGCAAGGAAGCACCTATGGAATTAGTGAAATTTGCCTGTTAATATGACCTCATTTGTAGTTACAGGCTAGAGACCCCTGTGGATATTTGAGTTATATGTAAATGATTTCAGCATTTGCCCAACCTCCACCCTATCCCCATTCCCCATCTTCATTCCAGGATGATTCTGGGTTTATTTTAAGCATTTAGTTTAGTTTTGTTTTTTACATGAAGGCAGACAGGCTGCACAGCCATTGTTTTTGGACTTTCAGACCTCAGGACCTTATGCTGGTACCACTTCTACCTCTACTTAACAAGGGATAAACAGAAACCTGGTGCCAGGAGTAAGGGAATCTGAATTCTTCAACAAATATTTACTGAACACCTACTTCGTGTCAGATACTGGTAGGTCCTGGAGATGGAGATAAGTATCTATGGTCTCTGAGCTCCAAAGTAGTTTACTGAGAGAGATCAGCAAATAGAAAATAATGGCATAATGGAGTAAGTGCTATGATGAGCAATGAATCTACTTTTTTTCTTAAAACACCAGAGGAATCTTCATAACACTGTTATAGAGCTGGGGCCTTCTGGGAAACTGTCTTTACAATCAAGTCAGAAAGATTTCAGGGTAACAGGCATCAATTTATTGAAGAGATAGGAAAAGGGAAAGCAGCACTCAGTCAAGAGAGAGAGTGGGTCCTCTTAGAGACGATAAGGGACAGTGTGCCTCTTTCTGCATTCCAATTTTGTTGGGGATCCCAGAGAAGTTTCCAGGCAGTCCCACCAACATGATTTTTGACTGACAGCAAAATGACATCACTTTCAAGTCCCCACTGCCATGACAACTCTAGGTCACTTTGGCCCCTGATGATTGATTCTAATTGGATTCTTAATTTTAAATTCTTACAAATTTTATGATTAGGAGGAATTGTCCTTATTTCCCTAAATTTCAGGATCTGGTCTGTGAAAAAGCACACAAGTCTCCCCCTTCAAGTAGCTTGGGTTCCTCTCATCAACATTATTTTGGGTCTGCATTTCTCCTGCGGTTAACAGGTAGTTTGTTGTGCCTGTCCACTTAAGTCAGGTAAAAAGAAAGCATGGGAGGATGTGGGGGAGTCAACAGAGTGGGCTTGTTTCAAAGAATTATTCCCATAACTTCATGTTCCATTTGCATCTGTCTGTCCCCTAATAGCACTGTCATAATTCAGCTAGTCACTCTAGCCAGACACTTCTCTGGGTCTTATATATAGAATTCCAGCTAGCAAATCCTAGAATTCTACTTACCATATTCATACTAAAAAGTATAGTAATTTTATTTATTTAGCAATATAGGACTTTAACCCAGGGGTACTTTATCACCAAGTCCTATCCTCAGCCCTTTTTATTTTGATCAGTTGCCAGGATGGCCTCACACTTATGTCCTCCTGCCTCAACCTCCAAGTAGCTGGGATTACAGGCACACAACAAAATTAATACATTTTAATAACAACTATACCTCAAAAGAACAAGTTCCCAGAGGCTATAGTGACAGGAAATCAGATTCTCAAAACACTTGCTAAAAGTTCCAGAAATTCTCCTGCCCTCTGAGAAGCTTATGAACTAAGGGGAATGAAATCCACGTTGTGAAGAAATGCCCAAAGCTGACTCAAGAAAGAAAGAAAAAAAAAAAAAAGCGATCTCAAAATCTTGGACCCTGGTAGTAGTAGCACACACCCACCTGTAACTCGGGTCCTTGAGGCAAAATTGCAAGTTTGAGGCCAGCCTCAGCAATTTAGTGAGACCTGTCTCAAATTTTCAAAAAAAAGGTTGGGGATGTTAGTTCAGTTCCTAGTTCCAAACAAATATTGGACCCACCCCCCAGCTCCTGGATCCTTTACACAAAGAACAGACTGGGTAGAAATGGATCATGCTCAGTCCATGTGGTTTCTTGACTCCATGCGGGGGGTGGTGTGTGTGTAGATGACTTGTTTTTAAACAAATCTCTCCTTTCCACTTGCACTCAAAATTGCACTTGATTCTTTTACATGGAATTTTTGGCATTTTTTACCTTTTTTTTTTTTTTAAACTGGAGATTGAACCCAGGGGTCCAAAACCACTGAGCTACACTCATGTTTTTATTTTTTAATATCTTAGTTGTAGATGGATACTACACCTTTATTTTGTTTATATTTACTTTTACGTGGTGCTGGGGAGCGAACCCGGGGCCTCACACATGCTAGCCGAGCGCTCTATCAACCCAGCCCCCTTTTATGTTTTGAGACAGGGTGTCACTAAGTTGCTTAGGACCTCAGATGCAGAGGCTGGTCTTAAAGTTGTGTTTCTCCAGCCTTATCCTCCCGAGCGGTTGGGATTCCAGGCCTGCGACACCGTGCCCGGCTCTGGTATTTTAAATACGATAACCTACTTCAGTAAGTGACCACCTTCAAATACCCAAAACCTGCCCCAAACCCACGTACGTGAGCCTAGGCAGCCCAGAAAGCGGACGCAGCCACTGACTGCCAACTCACTTCCGGGGCGGTCCAACACCTCGGCCGCCCGTCCTGCCCCGACAGGAAGTATTTTCTGCGCAGTCTCTGCAGTAGCCCCGTCTTTTGCCTCTGTCCTGACGGAGGCGGGACTTCCTGTTTCGTGTTCCCTGGGACCTCCAAAGGGATACTGGGGCTGAGAGGGAGAATGTCTACGTCCTGTGGCAGCGGATCAAGCAGTGCATTAGTTCGGGCCTGCTTCCGTAGTTCTCACTGATTCGTGCAGTTATCCACACTCTCTCCAAAGGCGCTTTCAGGCGGCCTTGGTGTTCTGAGTGCGCAAGAGTGTGTGTCCGCAGGTGGAGAAAGGGCATGGAGGAGCCGCCACCGGCTCCCCCGAGCTTCTTTTGCAGGGCACGGCGTCCTTCCTCCCGAGTCTTTGCTGCCGGAGCTGTGGCTGCCGACTCGGAATCTCTGGTGGAGAATCAGAAGTTGCCTTCCTTAGTCCAAGAACCCTATTACCCGGAATCCGGTTGGGATCGCCTCCGGGAGCTGTTTGTCAGAGAGTAAAAAATGCCCAGGGTCTGTGGGGAGGGGCCACGAAAGAATTAGCCTGGGGCCAAGAACCCAGGGGTGGTGGTTTATTTTTAAGTGAGGTTAGAGGTTCTAATATTTGTGGAAGAAGGTTGTATCCTGATTTTGCCATTTGATAGTTGATTGATAGGTTTTTAATGTTAAGGGTCACTGAAAGAGCTCCTAGGGATGGATACTTAGGTACATAGGGATGTATTCCTATTGAAATCAGTGCCCTAATTTTACAGGTAAGAAAATTTGGGCCAAGCTAGAAACCACTGACATCCATGTCTGCAGAAATCTACTCCAATATTCTTTTTTGTATTTCTTTTGATCCCAGACTTGTTGGTATTTCATGACCAATAATGTTCCTTCACCGCCCCTCAAGTGGAGATTGAAGAGGGCCAGAGAAGGTTGTCAGTTTTTTATTTTGCCCAAGGAAGAATTAAACAGTATCAACTATTGGGTTGTTGTTTTTGTTCTGTGCTTGGAATGAGCTCAGAGCCTTATTCTTGCTAGGCAAGCATTGTAACACTGAGCTATACCAGCGTAGTGTTTAGCTATACCCTCTGCCATTTCTCATCATAACTAGATTTTAAAATAGAAGATAACCCTTTAGATTGAATTTATTTATAATAATTCAAAACACTTAATTCATTAACTTATTAATCACTTGTGAAAAGATTACCCTATCATGAAGTAATTTACTACACTACGCTGTTATCAAGGGGTTAAATTAAAATTGAAGCTTTATAATATTGCTGAGATAGTTGTAGCAAGGGAACTGACAGACTTGTGTTTAATTATTTTATTTAGGCTTCATCTTGGGGCCTTGCTGAGTTGCTGAGGCTGTCTCTCAACTTGTGATCCTCCTGCCTCAGCCCCCTGAGTTGCTGGGATTACAGGCATGCACCACTGGGCTTGGTAGCATTTTGGATAGTTCTTCATAGTGTTTTGGATAATGTTTCAACATGTTTTCTTTTTGATGTTTTAGTGAACAACAGAGAATTTCAAAGGAACTTGAGAATATCTATAGGGCAGCAGCTTCAGCAGGCATCATTGGCTGGGCATATGGTGGAATACCAGCTTTTGTTCATGCTAAACAACGCTACATTGAGCAGAGCCAAGCAGAAATTTATCATAACCGGTTTGATGCTGTGGTAAGTACTGGTGACTTAAATAGTATTTAGGGGCATACAAACTTAGCTATTTACACATAGTCATTCTGTTAGGTTGTAGTTTAGGAGGGTTTTTAAAAAATTAATCTAAATAACAACAGAAGTCCTCATGCTGATGTGTAATGTGTATACATTGTTTATTAGACTTCTTCAAAATAGGCATATAGGATCACAACTATGACTGGGATTGACTTCTCCAGCCCTTTTTATTTTTTATTTGTAGACAGGGTATTGCTTGATTGCTGAGGCTGGCGTTGGACTTGATTCCTCCTGCCTCAGCCTCCATAGTTGCTGTCATAAGCATGTATCACTGTGTCCCAAGAAAAGTTTCTTTTTTTAACTTTTTATTTTGAAGTCATCAGGCTTAAGGAAAAGTTGCAAAAAAATAGCACAAGATTCCCTACATACCTTTCATCCAGATTCTGTAAAATTTAATGTTTTACCATGTTTGTTTTGTCATTCTCTCTGTATAATAAATACTATTTTTTTTCTAGACTGTTTGAAAGTAAGTTATAGACATGATAAATAATTTAGTGTGTATTTCCAAAAGCCAAGGCCATTTCTTATAAAACCAAATACAGTTATAATGATCAAGTTCAGGAAATTAATATTGTTGTGGTGGACCACTATTTACATAAGGTCCACTATTGTATGTGGACCTTATGTAAATTTTGCTAGCTCTTCAGCTTATCTCATTTATTTAAAAAATAAATAAAAACTTTTACTTGATCTAGGAGCTATAGATTACATGTTAAATTTGTCTTTTATGCCACTTTTTAGTTTCTTTTAGTCTGGAATTATTTCTCTCTCTTTGCCTTTTCTGACCTTGACAGTTTTGAAGACTGTGGACCATATATTTTGTAGAATGCCCTTCAATTTGACTCATGCTATACTTTTTTGGCAGGTTACCCTATTGATACTTATTATTAATTGATACTGTATTCTCAGCACAGTTGATCAGAAGCATATGATATCAATTTGTCCTTTTACTGGTGATTTTTACTTTAGTTACTTTGCTTAAGATGATATCTGCCAAGTTTAGCCACCATAAAATTACTGTTTTTTCCTCTCTCTAATAGAAAGTATTTTATAGATACTTGTTAGACTTTTTGAGATTAGTAAATATCCAATTTTTTAAATCTAATTTTGGCATTCAATTATGATTCTTGCTTGAACTAGTTATTATTGTGGTGGTTGCCAAATGACCATTTTCTAATCTCATCATCCTTTTTTTTTTTTTGTGTGTGTGTGTGTGTGTGTGTGTGTGGTGCTAGGGGTTTGAACTCAGGATGTGAAGGGTGTATGAACCCCTAGTTGATTTTTTTTTTTTTTTTTTTTTTGGTTCCAAGGATTGAACTCAGGGGCACTTGACCACTGAACCACATCCCCAGCCCTTTTTTTGTACTTTAGGATCTCAGTGAGTTGCTTAGCACCTCGCTCTTGCTGAGGCTGGCTTTGAACTCAAGATTCTCCTGTCTCAGCTTCCCGAGCCGCTGGGATTACTGGTGTGTGCCACTGGGAGTATTTGTTTTGTTTTGTTTTGTTTTAATGAAGAACATGTCTAATACTGATTTATGTCTGTCATGGTGGTTGCCAGATAGATTCGCTTTAGATTCTTAGTTGATGGATTACTTGCAATTGACATTGGCAATTCTGTTTCTTTTCCATCTCCTGATAAAACAGGATGCACAAGAGACTTGTTTAAACCTTAGTACTTAAAGAATGATAATTCTAGAGACTTTTATGTTATTTCTGTTATGGGACAGACCTCTCAGAAAATGTATCAAGTCCATTTTGTCCGAATCGGAGAGTCTTTATTTAGCTGGCTGGCCTGCAACTGCTCCCCGAAGGACCCATAACTATCTGTTCAAGGAACAGCATCAAGCCTGAGCATTTCAGATTCTTTAAAGGCAAAAACTGCAAGCAAGCAGGGGTACAGAATCTGAATTCAGCAGTTAGCATAACAATGCAATGGGTACATTGGTATTTCCCATGAGACTTTTAGGTTGGCATAGCAGCAAGCAAGCACAACGGACATGGGTCGAAATGACCCTACTTGAGTACGAGTTAGAGAATGGTTACTGGTATCTAGACAATCAATCTCTGACAGGGTACATTGCCCAAGAAAAATGGGAACCAAAGAAAGAACAATTTTACATTGTATGAGAATTGCCATTTTGTGTTGCCAAACATGCTCTGCTAAGCAACTCTTGTTAGAGGCAGAGTGTTCCCATGGGAGAAGCATTTCTTATATGTCTTGGAGTCTCAGGGTAAAATGGAGTCTGTTTGGTCATTGCCCATATAGCCTGGCTCATAACAATTTCTATCTGACTAATTTATAGCTGGCATTCCTCCTGCCCCATAATTTTTAGAATAAGGAAAGCATCAAGGTGTTTTGGAATCTCACAGCTTTTTTATAAACTTTAGCAATGTGCGCATCGTGCTGCCACACGAGGCTTCATTCGATATGGCTGGCGCTGGAGTTGGAGAACTGCAGTGTTTGTGACTATATTCAAGTAAGTTATCTAAGTTTTGAGAGAGAGTCTTGATATTTTTGTAGTGCATCTTTTGAGATTATAAAAAACATGTTGAAGTGATTCATAATGCCTTTTTCTCAAGAACTTTTGTTTATCTAAGAGGTTGGTCTAACTAATTGTAGTTTTGGGTATAACTGATAGAGGTCTACCAACTAGTATCAAAATACATACAAGGGGGCTGGGGACGTGGCTCAAGCGGTAGCGTGCTCACCTGGCATGCGTGAGGACCAGGTTCGATTCTCTGCACCACATACAAACAAAGATGTTGTGTCCACCGAAAACTAAAAAAATGAATATTAAAAAAAAATACAATGTTCCTAAGAAAGAGAAATTTCAAAACCTTTATGTTTCAATTTTTTATGTTTTTATTTCTGAATATTCAAGAAAAAATTTTCATCATTTATTGATGATGATGGTGGCTATAAGACTATTAAAATCAAATGGAATTTTATTTTTTAGAAAAAGGGATGGTTTGAAAAATGAGACAATCACCTTTAATGTTGTACTCAGAGGCACTTTACCACTGAGCTACATCCCCAGCCGTATTTTGTATTTTACTTAGAGAAAGGGTCTCACTGAGTTGCTTAGCTCCTTGCTTTTGCTGAGCTGACTTTGAACTCAGCCTCCCAAGCCACTGAGATTATAGGTGTGCACCACCACACCCAGCAATAAATGTTTCTTAATCTAACAACTATAGGTACATCTGTTCTGGAGGCAGGAAGAGTTTGAGGGAGGAAGAATATCACTGAAGAAAGACAGTGATTTTTCTTTTGAATTTCAATA